GAATAGTCATCTTGACATAGACACTACAATGTACAACCCATTGCACAAGTCACTTTAACCGTTATCAATTGTTTATCACTTTCGAATGCTTATCGCAAAAGTTACGTTATTAAAGAAAAGTTATATGATAATCAGCTGCTAAAGTACAAATCGAACCTCGATAACTCTTGAATCGAAACTATTGAAGGGTTGCCACTGATTTGAATCATCTTTCCATATCCACTGAACGGGTGCGAGTTCATGGAATGACGTATGCGAACGCATCATAACACTATCAATTTCGAAGATTCCATCGCTTGGTAAACGAGGTAGCAATTCACTGGAACAATTTCTCTTTCAAACCTCTTTCAACACATACGAACAAATACATAAATAATTACGAGTATAACCAGTTGAGTCTAAAACTATATCAGTCTAAACCTAAATCAAAAGTACAAACGATCATAAACCTAAATCAAAACTGCCAGCTGATTATTATACATTTATGAGCAGGCAAGTCAGTAGTTTATCGTAAACAATAGTACACCGTAAAAGACATAAATTCGTAAATTTATACAATCATAAATAAGCGTATAGATTCTGATCAGTGATTCTTTTAGTTTTACATCGAAGAACGTTTTGTTCTGTTTTCAAATATTCCAGCAATCCACATCTCGCTAATTTCTATTGAACAATCGATTACAATCGGTTTGAGGCCCTCATGCGCTTTACAGTTGAATTTCATGCAAACGATCGAATAACTCTTGGCGTAAATCATAATCATATTCATACCCGGCCAAGAAAACGAGCTCTTGCAATTGTTGTGATGGACGATTGACCATTTCTAACGAGCGATCCTCACTCTCAGTACCAATTATCAGAAAACGAATTGTACGAGCGAAATCTAAAGAAATCAATGAAAATCCAAAATTTCCAAATGCTCAAATATCCAAATAATCACAAACAATACGACCCGTAACGAAACCAATACTAAATACTCTGTCTTAATAAAATAACAGCGGTGGTAATGAAATTCACTGAAAATTATATCAAACGAACTCGAAGTTTGTTTACGACTGTAACAATGATAACAGCAACCGAAACCTGATAATACTAATAGTGAAAACAACATTCACCAGAATATTCGAGCCAAAGACAAAAATCTTCAGTTACTCACCCATATTGATGAGTGCCACAGCCAGATCACTGCACTTCGCGGCCATATGACGTAACATACGAACCAGAGCTTGGAACGTATTCGGA